GCCACTGACGACCCGTCCCTGATGTTGGTTTGCTTGGGGCAGTAGGCCGCGATGATGGTGATTGGGCCAAGTGATGTACTCACCTCCACTCCGATGGCTTCAATTATTTTCAGCTGGAAGTTTGGTAGCAGCCGGCAACTGATGTTCCGTTTTGCAACGATGGCCACTCCTCCACCTCCAGAGCAGGTGCGATCAAGTCTGACGAGCCGGAAGTCGGGAAGGAATATGTTCAGTTCGGGCTTCGAATGCGTCTCGGTGATGATAGCAATGTCGACCTCCTTGGTGTTGAGGAAATCGAGTAGCTCTCTATGCTTGTTCGTCAGTGAACAAGCGTTCCAATTTGCAATTTTTATTGCTTCACGGTCTATACTTGGTGACAAGGCAGCATGAAGCTGTTCAGATCGAGTATTGCAGGTGCGCATGATGATGATGACCTCGGCCACGAGCGTCACAAGTTCCTCCGAGGTGAACGGAGAATCGTCGACAGATTCACCTGAGACAGCACCAGCGTATGATGAACCATGGGCGGTGGATGAACCTGGAATTGGCTGGGCCGCAGCAGCAGCGAGACGATGCTGAACTGTCAGACTGTTGGGAACCTTTTGGATACTCGGAGGATTGGCTTGTTGGTTGTTGAGCGGAAGCGGGGCTAGGTTCGGAACATGTCGACGGGGCTGGAGAGCAGGGTACTGGACTTCCGTGAGTACAGAAGGCGAACGATGATTACGGAGGCGACCAAGCTGGTTGTTGATTGTGGCCTTCCGACGGATATTAATGAATTCCACTCGCTTGGGACAACCGCGATTGGAGGCTTGGTGATTTTCACCGCAGTTGACACACGTTGGCTCGATGTCATCGACTTGCTCACAGGACGCAGTTCCAGCACACTTGCCGCAGTTTGTCTTCATGTGGCAATTTTTGGTGCCATGGTCATATGAGAGGCAGTTCATACACTGCGTTACATCACGATTTTGGGGTTTATAATGCTCCCAACTGATGATGACCTGAAACAGGACCCGGATTTTGGATCTCAGAGCCGCAAGACTGGTGGATCCCTTCGTGAAATGCACCAGGAACAACTGATCGCGGAAGCTGGTGTTTTGGTTGGGACGCCGGTTCATCGGGTACACTGCCTCAGGCTTGAGCCCGAACCGCTCCAGCTCGGATTTCATCGCAGTCGCCTCGAACGACGGTAATCCACGCAAAACCACCTTCAGTGGCTTGCTCGATTGCAGATCATGCGTGAAGAAGTCCACGTTGTTGTTCTTCAGGAAACATCCTATTTGTTTGTACTCCTCCAGGCTGGAGCACATGATTTTGGTACCGATGCTGCAAAGCTTGAAGCGAGGCAGCAGCTTGTGTTTTGCCAGTTCGGCCAGCTTGGCAACATTCTTCACCGGCGTGAAAAGCGGGGGAATCCGCTCTCTTCTTGCAATGAGAACGGCGTCACCATCGCCATTTTCTTCCGAGAGTACTGCATACTGGTTGGCTTGCAATACTCTTTTTCCGGCGTCATCCTGCGACACGCTGAGCTTGATTAGTACCTTCTTTGAAGGGCCCGCTGCTGGCTCATTGGCACGTTTACGCACCAATTGTTTCGTGTTTGCAAGTTCAAGTAAACTTGCCAGAACGCGGGAAGTTGGTGACACTTCCACAGTGCAACGCGACAGCACAAAACGAAACAAAATCGAATCGAGAACTCGATCGAAAATACGGACTGAACAGCTCGACAGTCGAGCAAAGAATGAACGATGACCAAAAGTGGTAGTGCAATCATTTTGTTTCGTTTGAGTTGAGTTGAATTTGGACAGAAGTGGCCATCTATTTTCTTCACAAAAGGTACAATAAACGCTCAGATTTACAAAGTGGAATGCTTGGAAAAAGACTGCTGCCACTGTATACACAGTATACGTCGCCTCCTCTCTTCTGGCCAAATTTGGCATCCACACACTACGTTAACCAAGTTCTACAATGGTTTGCTAACAATAAGATCCAGATAGTCAAAAAAAAAAACATCAACCCACCGAACTGTCCGGAACTCAGACCCATTGAAAGATACTGGGCGATTGTGAAAATGATCTTCAAGAAGGAAGGAACGGTCTCCCGAAACATGCAGGAATTCAAGAGAAATTGGACAACTGCATCCAGAAAATGCACAACAGCAAATTTGCAGAATTTAATGAAAGGTGTTTCGTCAAAAGTGCGCTCGTTTTTCAGGAATTAAGGTTTTTATTTATGTACGCTTCATCTTTGGTTTAATACACACTAATTTTCAATAAAGTGAGAACTGAAACAAAAACTATAACTTTCTAGAACATTTATTAGCAATCATATGTAGCTAATTACTTTTCGTTTAAGTTATGAATCTAAATAGGACAAATTTGCTTGGTTTTTTCCTGAGTTATCCTGCTATTTTCCCTATTTTAAATTTCACATCTATTCATTCCTCAGAAACTTTATTTCGGTACAAGGTTAGTACATATATTTTGCCATACATACATATTAAACCATGAAATACAGTGTCTAATTTGATATTTAGGCCATAGAGCAGTTTCACGCCAAATGACGAATCGATCGAACGTGACCTTCTCTGACTGTTTAATATGGCTACTCACTCCTATCTGAGCTGAAATTCGGTAATTTTAAATCTTGCCATTAATTTTAAAATAGCGTTTTGGATAGTTTCAACAAATCATAATTTGAAAACGTCATATCTACTCGAAATGACGTCAGACACAAAGTTGTTGTAAAACATAAAAACTTTTCAGAATAAAAATACACGGTTAAAAATTACAAGTAATTTTCGGAAAAAAAACAAAACCTTATTTTAAACTTAAATAACATACAATTATCCTCTTCAATATTTGTTGAATATTTTAAATTTATAAACTTTTAAATAAATGCTTTCCCCTGCGAATTTTCTTGTTGGATCCTTAAAAATAATCCAACGTCATATGAGATGTATATCATATTATATATTAAATAAATATCATCACATGTGGTCAAATTTTTGAACTTTTTGTTAATATTTTTTAGTTGTTTATTTTTTGTTATTTTTTTTATTTTACAATACATATCATAAATACGGGTAATTTTTGGTTACATAAGTTTAAATCATTTTTAAAGTTTTTTATCCAAAATAACTAGAAGTATTTTACAGCGAATATTTTTCGTGAAAAAATTTTTTTTTTCCTACACCTTTGACCCGGAGAAGGTATTTTGATTGCAAGTGACGTTTTCGAGATATGATTTGTTAAAAAATATCGATTTCACTTTTTTAATTTTTTGGTGGCCAAATTTTACTTCAAATGTGAATGATTGACCATAAAAAAATAATTATGCGAAGTTTCCTGCATATCGTAGAAGGTCGAATCTGAATTTAAGTTTTTTTTTTGTTTATTTTGCCCTTTCCACGCCAAATAACGAATCTGAAATCTCCGATTTACCTAATTTTATGCAAAATTTTGCGTCACTTTTTTACAATAAAAAAATCGGCCATTTTGGATGGTTTAATTTTTTTCAAACAGGCGTCTTTGCAATTTTTCAATAAATTATAGCACTAAAATCGAAAAGACGTCAGCGACAAAATTGTTGAAATTAAGTATATCTGGGAAAAATAAACATGGTATTTATATGAAATAATGTTGAGTAAAAAAAAAAATGCAAAGAAGTGATAACAACTAAAATATCTCAAGGAGTACGTCTTAATTTTTTGTAATGCAATAAAAATCTCAAAAAAATTGCATATTTTTGGAATATTTAAAGCTATGAACACTTGAAAATGGACAAAAATCGATAAACAAGAACTTTTGGTTATACATTTAATTTTTTTGCTAGTATTGTTTTTAAATAATTTCTTCACCGGAAACAATATTTGAGAAATTCTTAATCGTTACCTTTGCAAAAAAATATATAAAATAGCTAGTTAACAAGATATTTAAAAATATGACCAAAAGTTGATGTTCTATGACTTTTGAAAATTTTAAAGTGCCCATGGTTTTAAAAACTCTTTAAAATTACATTTTTCATTAGCTTTATTATTAATAAATTATAAATATTTATTTATCAACAAATACTAAAAAAAATTATCTTGTATATTTTCCTCAGAATTCCTATGCTATTCTCTACAACTTTGTCTCATACGTCGTTCAAAAGTGATGTTTTAGGGCTACAACTTATTGAAAAATGTCAAAGACGCCTTTTTGAAAAAAAAAAAATATACAAGATCAAAATGGCCGAATTTTCGCAAAAAAAAGTGAATGATTGTCCAACACATAATTATGGAAAGCTTGATGCAAATCAAAGAAGTCCTAGTCTTAAATTTTTATTTTTTTTTATCCTATTTAGCCTGGAACTGGTCAAACGAGACCAAACACTACACGAAACGAAAATCAATTATTTTATTCATGTGTTTCACTTATACATTTTTGCCAAAGCATCAGCCTTCTACATTCCATAAGACAAACCACATAGGTTCTACAAGAATGCATAAAAGGTATGTGTGACCGCTTGTACATTTCATTTGACACATGAGCTTCATTAACTTTTTGCAAGGCGTCTGATTATTAGTTGACTTATACATTTTATGAATAATCAGCAATATAAATTTGCCAAAAGGTATAAGGAGATTTCTATCCGTGTAGTTACCTGTTGTAAAACTGGCATACTTATCCAAAACCAATTAAAAAAAATGTGCAAAAAACCATCCCAGGAAACGGTTGCCATGCTTTTTTTTTCTGAGTGTGAATCATTAAAATACTTCTCAACAGGTCAGTGTAATACCTAAACCTCAAACCCCGTGGCTCAACCTATTGCACAAACCACCCCAACCGGATATTACCTCTCCAAAGAGTACATATTTTCAATTTTTCAACCCTACTCCCACCATAATGCTCGTATTGAACCTATCCAACCAGCACCTTCCACAAGAAATGTCAAAGGCAACAAATGAAAGCCCCCCCCCCCCCCCCCCACAAACTCCCGATCCACCACAGCCTCACCTGCGTACTCAGCAGCACAGCTCGAGTAACCGCAAAGATCCGACTGCCGACGCCTTCGTGCGGTCCGTAGATCACCACCAGATAGGTGATGCCCAGCAGCGGAATAAGTACCAGCAGTGCCTTGGATGCCTTCCGGTATTGCCTCGTTTCGACCGTATTGGCCGAGCGGAGCTTGGTGATGAGAACCTTTTCATTGTTGGAAAAGTGGAGAAATTGAATTGAAATCCGCTGCAGAACACTCGATTGAGCTGTTGATAAAAGTTTCGACTTACCCACATAATCCGCAGCAGAAAGATAAGGTTGATCACCAGCACAGTGCAGGATGGGCCCTGGATGATCCAGTCGATGTGAGATTCCCTCATCCACGAGCATTCAATTTCCAGCTGTGTGTGTGTGTGGGAGACGAAGCACGACGATAAATTCACCGAATCAGAAACAATTCATTAGCAATTTATATAAGTAGCATCAACATTTGTATCACAGCAGCAGCAGCACACTCACCTTGTTGGGAAGCTCCGACATCATGTCGAATGGGTAGAGGGACTTGGTAATGGCCCACGCTCCAACGAAGATTAAAGGACCTCCTGGAAGAGAAAGAATTAAATGGAAACCGTAAAGAACGCTGAGCGGAGGACAATAACACGGAATGACGAGCCAGATGTGTCTCGTGATGTCGTTGCGATATACTTTTAATAGAATTAATTTCTGAAAGCATCCATTCATTTTGCTCGCTCGCAGAGGACAACATTCCAGATTCCTGCTGGCTGGATGCGAGGGAAAAAAATTTGCTCGCTAAGTCCAGCCATTTATCTCTTCGGTGGTGGGCCAATTTGATTTTTCCCGCCGTTTGAGCTATGTGGACGTTCAGCGAATGGGTGATGGAGCATTATTTCCTTTAAATTTTAGCAAATTGGACGTTTGATTCAGGAGCCAAATTAGTCAACAGATTTAGGCAAACGTTTCTTCACACCGCTCCGAGGCTCGTCGTGAGTTATTCTAAGCCAGAAGAGCTGGCAAATTATACGGCGATAAAATCGTTTCACTTGCTTCGGGTGCTTTAATTTAATCAAGCCCATTGTCTGCCTTTGGAATGAAGTATATGTTCGTAACATGTTCCTAGAAGCAGTAGCTTCCAGCCATGGAAAGTGAGCACCCGTGTAAGACGTGTAGTCTCCCATAAGGTGGGAAGAATTTTGTGCTCCTAACAGAGCGTAGGTAGATATTTTGAGTTGAAGACGGTGGTTCTATGATAGATTTTTTATTTCAATCATTTTCATTTTATTATCAATAATAACACTGTGCAACAAATCGGAACTTTTTTTTCTAGGACTGAGAAAATTGACCATATTTGACTTTCTTGTAGGCTTTTGGGTAAAAGTCCTGAACATACCTATATCCTAACACGTCCTAATTTTGTGGTACCGCCCCAAATATGAAGTTTGGTATGTTGTCCCGATGTCGGTCGTATACTGTCTAACTAAAGCATGATAGAATCTTAATTTTAATCGTTCGACAGGAATACTTAATAGCCCGGATATCAGGAAGCTAGATAAGAGTATAGTCTTCAAAAAACAATCTTTTGCCTAAGGAACAAGCTGCCTGGAGATGCGCTTAAGATGTGATTCATAATTGTCTTGGAACAAATCGGTCTGCAATCGATCAATTATTGAAAGTATGATAATCGCGTTTTATATTTGACGAGGGGTGCCCAATTTAAAAAATCACCCAAATGACGGGTAAGACGGTGATATATCGTTTTTAAATATTCTAGAAACATGTTCCCCTAATCGTTTCCAACAAAAAACTCTCAGACAGCAATATAGTACCATGCTTTAGTTAGGCAGCATACGACAACATCGGGATATCGGGACAACATACCAAAATTCATATAGAGGGTGGTACCAAAAAATTAAGACGTGTTAGGGTATAAATATGTTCTAGACTTTTAATCAGAAGGCAACAAGAAAGTCAAGAATGATTAAGATCATCGGATTTAGAGTGTTTTCAGTCTTTTGGGTTGTTAAAATAATTACTTTAAGGAAATCTCAACGTACCAGCACATACTATGGTTTTAACAGTGAATTTCCATGAATTCTAGATTTTTAGGGGGGTATCCAATTTGAAAAATCATCCAAACGAGGGGTAAGACAACGAGATATAGTTTTCAATCATTCTAGAAAAATGTTCTTCAAGTAATTTTCTACAAAACAAAAGTTGGAGGGTGGTGTACAAGACACGACCGCATTGTTGATGTAGGACTACGAAATTTTTGTTCGATTTTCTAGTTTGTTATTTCGGATATTATTTTGGAATTAAGTGAATTTCATAACTCAACTCTTTTGTAGAAAGATGTGGTGGCCCTGAACTGTGATGATTTCTTTATGGCAAGCTTGTACAGTTGTACACACCAACTGCTCATTTGGTAATAACTTTTCACTCAGATGTTGAAATTTATTTTTCTTTATAGTAATTGATAGATTAGGCTCATAGTTTACTAAAGATATGCGAAGATTAGGTAAAGCTTAACATTTGAATCAACACTAATCAATTTAACACTTAAATTCCGAGATGTGTAGTGAGCATTTCTCACCTCATTTTTACAACGCAAAAATAAATACAGCTTACTACTAGGATTTAAATCTACTTTTTTTTACATATCTATAACAAGCTTACACTCTATTCTATCTACTGCTTCAAAAAGAACTATATTCCGTCAACTGTGTGCAAAGTTATTAGCAAATGAGCAGTTCGTGACCAAAACTGTGTATGCCAAGCATGCCGGTGGCATGAAACTGGTCAAAATTTGCCCAAATCTGCCAATAAATTTGTTTCTTTTGCATTTGGTTATAGCAAAATAGTGAACTTTTCGGGAACATTAACGCCAAAGAACTCACAGACTCCTCCCTGGCTCCTCTCCTTTTGTACACTCTGTACTTTAAGTCTGTACCCTCCACTAGCGTGCACAGGAATCTTGTTAAAGAGGGGCATTTTTGTATATGGTGCATTCAATCTGGGGATGGGGAGTACTCCAAAGTATGTGGTGGATGGTGCTGTCCACCTCACACTATTTCCCTACTCTTCAATTTAGCTAATTTTATTTATTTTTTGCTCCGGTGGTGGTTCATCCTCTTTAACGTAAACTGCTCTCAGATAGCCAATGGAAATTTGAAATTTAATCCCATCGACGATGTCGATGATGATCGGTTCGTCAAATGGTTGCGATATTAGGGCTTTAACCGAAATGATACATTTGATGCAACGTTGTTGTCTTGGTGGTTGGATTCAGCTGAAGTCACGTCAGATGGTGGTGATAGCACCGACAAACCGACATGAATGACCAATAAGAATCGCATTCTCCTTTCGCATGCACACTGCTTCGCATACACAAACAGTATATTACTCTTGATCAATCCAATCTTGATCGGTGGTGTTGAGTACTTGGCACTGATGAAGTCTTCAAGAAGTAGATGAAATACGCGTATGTGTCAAAAGATAAGCAATTATTACGGAATTAAAAGGAAATAAACCAACACACTCAAAGCTCTTCATAAAAGTGTATGGTTATTTTTGTCCTCGCACTTGGCTTGTACTCCAGCAGTGCTGTCAGCCATTGTGCTGGCACCATCAAAACAAACTGCCATCACCTACTCCCAAGAAATCTGCATCGCTTTCAGGACCTCAGCAATGGTATTGAAGATGGTCGTCGCGTCTGTTTTCAACACCAGTCTCACACCCACGAATGTTTCCGTCGGCCGATCATTATCAATATACGGGAAATGGATGTAATGTCGGTCTAAATGCCCCTAATTTGGGTCCATAGATAAATTCAGCAATCGACTAAATTTTCAACAGTGACACAGTGATCAACAATATCCATTAGTACCGTCTCAATGACGCATTCATCTATATAAAATTAATAAATAGCAAACTTATACCCACTTTTCAATTAGGGAATCCAAAAGCATCTTCAACCTTTGTACAGTTGCGAAAAAGTCCATCCTCAAAATACCTTGAGGTTCTTTCCGAAATTTTTAGAGCTCAATGAGCTCTTTTGAAATTCTTCTCAGAAGTACTCTGGAATTATTTTTAGAACTCTTCTTGACTTTTACTCAGAACACCTTGGAACTGAAATTCCCTTAGAGTTTCAGAAGAATTTCCTCAGTATTGTCCAGAAATTTTTCTCGGGATGAGCTAGAAATTATCGGTACTACCTTGAAATTTTCCTCAAAATCGCGGAATTTCACTTAAAATCTAATTTTTCTCGGTATTCTTTTCGGAATTATCTTGGAACTATCTGCAGGATTCACTAGAAATTGTTCGCAGATTTTTTTTGGAATACTCCCCAGAAATCCTTTGGAACTGTCCTCAGAATTCAATATCCTTAAGGTTCTTCTCGGATTTTTTTAGAACTCTCCTATGAGCTCTTTTGAATTTCTTCTCTGAAATCCACTGGAATTATATTTAGAACTCTTCATGTTTTTTTCTCAGAACACCCTAAAACTGAAATTCGTTTAGAGTTTCAGAAATTTTTCCCGGAATGAGCTTGAGATTATCCTCGGAATTCACTTTAAATTTTGCGTAAAATCCCTTTGGAATTTCACTCCAAATTTGATTTTCTCGGTATTCTTTACGAAATTATCTTGGAACTATCTGCAGGATGCACTACAAATTATCCGCAGAATTTTCTTTAAACTCTACCCAGAAATATTTTAGAACTGGTTCTTCTCGGAAGTCAAGTTTAAGTTGTCCGTCCATCCACCAAAACGTTGTAGTTTTTCTACCAGAAATGTTCAATAAAGCTTGCCCCTCCATTCACCAGAACTGTGCAATTTTTACATAAGGAATTTTCAATTCAGCTTAACCCTCCATACAGCAGATTGTTGCAAATTTTACACCAGAAATTTTCAATACAAACTTGTCCCCAGAAAATTTCATTTGACCAGAACGATGCAAATTTTCCATCGTTAATGTTTAATAAAAATTGCTTCTTCAATCTTCTGATTGGTGCAGATTTCCTTTTTTTTTCATTTTCATTTTTCAGAGTGTAGATGACATCCATGGCCGTGACGCTTTTGCGCTTAGCGTGTTCAGTAGACTGATGCAAAATTTGACTTTTTCGCTCCACAGTGCTTAAATGGTTTCAAATCGGGTCGTGATTAGCCTCCAAAAGTTACAACTCATTTGGTTAGAAACAGACTTCGCACAAACCATTTGAAGTTTACATGTAAATTACTATGGGAAATCTCAACTTTTTGTTCATTGCCTTCTAGTCTTTTTCCATATTGAGCTGCAAAACAACTCGATAGCTATTCTTATAGAAAATTTTCTCAGCTACAACTTTGCTGGAGATCGTTTCTATGTTAAACGAGACATAATAGTTATTAATTATTTAAGAGATTGGTAAACTTATGACATGATCAAGCAACTGCTCTGTAGGCAACACTGTATTTTGCAGTGTGACATAGTAGCCATAATTTTTGTGTCCTATTCAACGCCCCAGAAACACCAATGTTGCTTACTGAGCAGTTGATTGAGCATGATCATAAGACATCAGTGCATTGAACCATTAATAACTTTCGATCCTTGCATTTAATCAAAAAGTGGTCTTCAGCAAAGTTGTAGCTGGGAAAATTGAAAGCTTTTGAAGCAGACCGATATGGTGTATTATTAGATAGACAGGAACAAAATCTTGGTTTTACCATAGTAATTCCCATACAAACTTCAAATGGTTTGTGCCATCTCAGTTTCTCACCAAATGGGTTCAAATTTTGAGAGGTTAGTCAGGATCCGATTTGGAATCGTTTAAGTATGGTGGAGCGAAAATTTCAAATTTTGTATCACTCTAATGAGACATACATTCGATGAATTACCAACAACTGGCAGTAAAACATATCTGATACCTCTATATATGCAATTAAATTAACATCCAAAGTCCATCCTTTTTTACATATTCTGCACAAAAGAAACTTTCTGCCCCACCCATTCATAAAAAAACGGCGGGAAATCCTGTCCAGACGAGATATTTTTTCGGGAACTTCGATAGTTTGATGGTTTTGAAAATTTCAGCCACCTTCCCTTTTCCTGATGCGGTATAAAGCTCCTGTCCCGGAAGCTGCTTGAAATCCACCTTCACATAAGTTTCGTCGTCCATGACGACACAGTCGAACATTGTGAGCAGATTCGTATACAGCTTTCGGGACCGCCACTTTGCCGACGTGTTTTGTTTGTGATCTCGGTTCGCCACCTTTACCTTCTAAAAAGTCGACAACCCGGCTCGTTTCGTCGCACGCTGCACAGTAGTATGGGACACATTGAGCTTGCCAGCGACGTCCCGGATGGAGAGGTTAGGATTCCGCTTATATTTCACCGCCACCTTCTTTGTCGTCGCTGCCACGTCCGGATTACGATTGTCACCGCTTCCTGGCGGTTTGCAAACTTGGCATGTGAGAATGTCGGATTCTCTTGCTGCGCGAGCAAAATTTTGACACGCTGCTCCTCTTGCTTGGACGTCATTTTAAAAACTGGAGAGCAAACGGTGAAAACTCATCATAGCAACCATTGTATATACACCAAGGGGTTGGTCACTCTACACAGTGTGCCAAAATCAAACTTGGGCACACCCGGTTGCAGTCATTGGTGCTGTTTGGCACCCATGGTTACAATTTTGATGATATTTAAAGTTACTGACAACAATGAAATTTTTCTGCGCGTGCGCAGTGTGCATGTGTCAAAATGTGTTATTGATGATTTGTTCTTAATACAATCCAATTTTTACCATCCACAACCGTGAATCTCCATCAAGTCCCGCCAGTGATTCTCCAAAATTGAATGTAATTCAACCAATTCAACAAAGTACAGTCAGCGCACAACCTATTGCCTGTCCGAAGAAGTAGATACATGCAAAAATCAGGACAATCGCTTGCATAGCAACACCACTCAATCAATCTCAACATGACTGGCTCCAGCTCCGTTATGAAAGTCGTTACTCAGACTCCCGTGACCGGAGGAAAGTACGTACCATGAGAGGTTCTGATCAACCTTGAGCCGGAAACTACGGATTCGGTCCAAGTGGGACCATTTGGACAGCTTTTCCGACCGAAAAATTTCGTTTTCGGACAGTCCGCTGCTGGTACCAACTGGGTTAAACGAAACTACACCAAGGATGCCGAACTGGTGGATTCTGTGCTGGATGTTGTCCGTAGAGAATCCGAGGGTTCACCGAAGCCGAGAGCAACATGAACGACCTGGTTTCGGAGTACCAGCAGTACCAGGAGACGACGATTGATGAGCAAGGACAGTTTGACGAAGAATAGGAAGGTGCCGACGAGATATAATAGATACACATGGTTAAAATTGTCGTTTTTATTATGCTACTGTTAATAATTGCAGAAAAAAAAATCTGGTTATATTAAAAATTAACACTGCTAAATTAATTATATTACAAATAAATTGCAGCAGCGCAAACACAACACGATTGGCAAACTTTTCATCGAAAGTCCCCTTTTAGCGGAATGAAGCGCATCCCACTGGCCAAAGAACAGTTTGACTGTTTGTCCAATGCTTCCACCCGCCAGATGGCACAGGAAATGTGCCCTCTTCATGTGAGTTAAGGTAATTAAGTTTATGTAATCTTCCTTCCGGAATCTGGAATCTCCAGCAGTAAATCTACTCTCAGTGCACAGTGGGCAAAATTTGACAAAACCGCGACTAAATTGAATATTTCGGCTGCCAAACGATTTCAGTCACCATGTTGTACATATTCTCAAAGAAAAAACTCTGTTGAATCGATTGGTGGTAGTCTCATTGGCCGGAGACTTTTGCGTACCGAGATAGAGGGCCAGGATCAACCCGAGTTCCCGGTAAAGTAGGAAATGCCACTATCTATTGACATAATTTTACACTTTACTTAACGTATATTACTGTAAATTGATAGTACAAAGTATACATGATGTAAAGACACCATATATGCTCTCAGGGAAACTCTACGGACCTAAAGGAGAATCCGGAACGACCGGTAAAGTGGCCACATTATAAAAATTGTCCTAGAACCTTATAGTTTTTCTATGTTGTTCAGAATCAAGAGATCGAAGCGTATTTAATATGGAAACTATATTTTGGGGTATAGTGGCCATATTCTAGTTCTCCGGATAATCTGGATTGACCACCAAAGTGGCTATATTATAAAAATTGTCCTAGAACGTTGCGGTTTATTCTATATAGTTCAGAATCAAGAGATCAAAGCGTATTTGACTTGGAATACATATTTTGGAATATAGTAGCCATATCCTGGTTCCCTAGATAATCTGGATTGACCGATAAAGTGGCCATATTATAAAAATGATCCTAGAACCTTGCGATTTTTTCTATGTTTGTTCAGAATCATGAGATCAAAGCGAATTTAATAAAGAATTTAAATTGTGGGGTAAAGTGGCCATATCTTGGTTCTCCGGATAATCTGGATTGACCGATAAAGTCGCCATACTATATTTTTTTCTATAACCTTGTGGTTTATAGTATTGTTGTATAGTTTCCATTTTAAATACGCTTTGATCTATTGATTCTGAACAACATAGAAAAAATCACAAGGTTCTGGGAAATTTTTTATAATGTGGCCACTTTACCGGTCGTTCGGGATCCTCCTTCAGGTCAGTAGAGTTTCTCTGAGGGCGTATATGGTGTCTTAACGCCATATATACTTTGTACTATTAATTTCCAGTAATATTAACGTATATTACTGGAAATTGATAGTAAACTTTGGATTGGATAAACTGTAAAATTATGTCGATAGATAGTGGTATTTTCCAATTTACCGGGAACTCGGGTTGATCCTGGCCCTCTATCTCGGTACGCAAAAGTTTGCGGCCAATGTGACCACCACCAATCGATTCAGCAGAGTTTTTCTTTGAGAATATGTACAACATATTGACTGAAACCGTTTGGCAGCCAAGATATTGAATTTAGTCGTGGTTTTGTCAATTTTTGCCCAGTGTACAGTGGCTTGCCATAAGATATTCCCAAACGACTGGATCCAATATGGTGCACGATCCGTTGCTGAACGCATTTGAAGCTTTCCTTGGCGAGAACATGCGAGCCGTCGGGAAATGCCAGCGGAAGATCAACCCCTTCATAATCCACATTTTTCAGAGATCGTTCATTGTCCGCATATTTTACCATCCTCAAAACCTTCCGGAAATCGCCCAACCAACGCTCAATATAATTTAACACCTTGAATTTCACCTTCACCTCACTTAGCATCTCTTCCACCTGCAGCCGGAAAAGATTCGAATGGTAGAAATATTCCGTTTCTTTCAATCGATTGATTTCCTCTACCGTCGGCGGTTTGTACAGCTGCTTAATGGATTTGATCTTCCGTTGGTTTTCTTTGTCTGTTCGTCGCTTGGAATGGCTTTGCGCTTAGCGCCTTCCGAAGATCCGGCAGTCGTGACTAGCATAAAGCGTCCACCCTACTTACTTGACCACTGTCGATTTCCGGCTCCAGCCGCCCAAAATCGTCGTCGTCAATTGAGTTCTCAGGTTTCGAAAAACAAAACAAAATCAAGAGTTGTCAAAATACCGGGTTGCCAAAAAATTCATTATTCACAAGCAATCAAAAGTCAGTTCAATTACTTCTCGGCACTACCGTGCCAGCTGCGGCACGTTGAGGTACACTGAGAAAAAAGTTGGCGCAAAACAAGTGTGTAGAGTGACCACCCCTTGATATTCACTCAACTTTCAATTGCAGCATTTCAGGTTTTTTAATGCATTTTTAACAGAAGTACACCAATTATGATTAAATATTTCTTAAGTATTTTTAATATTTCTAGGTATCTTACATATCAGTATGAACTTTCAATGCACAACACGATAAATACAAAGTTAACAGTGAGATGCCCCTAGTTGCTTACAAGTTTCTCCGTGGCAAAATTTCTGGTTTGTTCCGATCTTATATTTAAAATAAAAACTTCCCATCCGTGCTCCGTTGTCAAGAATTCAAATCATCACCTCCTCCTAGCCATAAGGGAGGCTTCAAGTTTCAACCGGCATGCAGTCTGTCGACATCCGAAGACAGCACCACTCCACAAGCATTCCTAACGTGTCGCATGTATATCACAGAAACTTATCTCACTTAATCTAGCATATTCATGGAGTTTACATACACGTACCTGGAATGTACTATAATAGGACAAACTTACCCCAACCGATGATGGAGTACTTCCAAAAACGTAAATAATCGCCGGAGAACGTCTGCACCACCAGCATGTAGAGATAGAGACCTGCAAAGAGTAGGACACGGAAGTTAGAGAACCGTCGACGTAGTGTAGGCTTCCTTTCTTCTCCGGTAGGTACGAAATCTAGGTCGCACACAAAACCGGCACGATGATAAACCTAAGGAAGGAAACGTCGTTCCGATTTGCTCGAATACAAAATGATAACAATCTTGTTTCACGTCCTATTCTCGAAGATAAACTGCCTTCTCAACATGGTGCGTATTAATTAGTCTACTGTAAATTAATTACTGTTTTCGTAAAGCGGAAGGTGTGTCCTATAAACTCCGGGTTTCACGTGTTTACCAGGAATGTTGTCCGCTCTCTGTGCCTACTCGTAAATATTGGTAAACCCATTTGTAATTCATGAGATCACCATCAAGGTTATTGGATTACACCATCGGGATTTTCAATAATGCCCGAACCGGAGCAGTGAAACACTCTTACTCACAATGTGGGCCATTACCATATGCATCCCTAATGAGAGCGGCGAACTGGTGCAATTTTCGATCGATTAAATGTCCATTGCATACGAAATGGTTTGCTATATATATATAGCCATCTCTGCTAGATTAATATTTAATGGCTCAATTACCGTGACCGCGAGTCGTTACGGATTAAATTGCTGTAATTTAATCTCATTCAAATCAGATTGATTTTGAACTTGTTGAACTTGTCGAACTTTTTCAATAAATATTTGAAAGCTTCTAAGAACCGGGAACCGTTTTACCAATAAATCCAAATAACATTTAGACACACATCGAATCAACCTACCCTCCACCAGCATCCAGAAGAAGTTTGTCGTGCTGAAGTAGTGGAATAACGTCACTAGAAATATGCAATCCACCAGTCCTTGCTTGGCGACCAGCTGCAAATGCAAACATGCAAATAAACAAAGGAAAGAAAGAAAAGAAAGAAGAAAGCGTAACGCGACCAGCTGTCATTCGCAACGTTTACAAACATAATTGCGCCAACTAAACACCTGTTGAGAGAGTATAATGATCCAAAAGCTGGATGACATGATGTACGTTACGAAGAGGTTGACATGAATCGTGTTCCTGAGGCATCTTAGTTCCCTGGAAATATAGTGGACGGAGGAGGGGAATGGAAATTTATGCAACTGACTGACGGTTGGAGAGCCTGGTAAAATTTGAGCATACTTAAAGTAAACCAGCACGGTAACGGCACAGAACAGCGCCAACAGACTGATGGTATATCCGACAAAGTAGATGATTATCGGAAGTTCGATGAACGATTCGAGCGTTTGATCCGATGCCGCTGGTTCCAGGTGTTTGCAGGCATCGTAATTGGCGAATATGTTCCAGGTTCCATCGATGTTGCAGTACCGGGTGGCGTTTTCTGAAATCGGATAAAAATAACAATACAGGTTTTTTTAATATCTTAATAACCACAGTGAAATAATGATTGCTACGCTCTGAAACGCTAAAAGTGAATAGATACATATATCAGTTTCCCCCTGCAGAGATCGTAGTAGGTGGTGCGGTGAAATTCAATCTCGTTTCGAACGCTCGAGCAAACTGAAGGAGATCTCAGCAGGTGGTGGCAGTGGAGGTTATTGCGATGCCATTACAGCGCCTACTGTGACCCGCTGGCAGACGCCAATCCAAAGTGCGGTTATTCATAAAGATATCTAAGCCTCGTTTATTTTTTATTTTTCGATTTCGTTCAGTGGCCCTGCTGTTCCATGCAGCATTTGGCATCTAAATTAGCGTCGTTATCAGTTTAAGGATGCCACCGGAATCGTCATTAGAAGTTAATCAATGGAGGACATAAGAGTGGAATATTTTCGACGACAAAAAATGCATGGCAAGCAGTGGCTTCGAGTGGGATAATAAGTTATTATTAATAACACCCGATGTATTAGGTGGCAACCCCTCTCTCCACCCCTTGGAATTTTTATTATTTGCGGTCGAAATTACTAAAACATTGTATCAAAATCGAAAATAAACATGTTCACTTTTTATACCATAAGCGTAGCAAATTATCGACTAACTAATTCGATATCATTATTAGCAGGCAGCTATTAGCGGGCAGTAAAACGAACCGATCTGTTCATGAGTGCGAAAACTAATGACATATATTTCTTATCTATCTACATACAGCCTACTGTGATCGAATGATAGGTGTAGCTTCAATCATGGGTTGCTTGTACTCCTTCACTCCTCCTCAAGCTGTATCGATTGAAATCCCATCTCCTTCCGGCAGGTCTCTAGCTTCACTCTCGCCAGCGACTTGGTCAAGGCGTCGGCCAACATGGACTCGGTAGGGCAGTATACAACCTGGATTACGTTGTTGTCTCGGATGAAGTTGAACCGCGTGTCGATGTGCTTGGTTCTACGACTTCCTCCTTCAGCTCGCAGCATTGCTATGCAGCTCTAATTATCTTCGCGGACAACGATCGGCCCGGCAGCTTTCTCATCAACATCCTTCATTAGCTTCTGCAACCAGAGCAACTCCCGGCAGGCCTCGGCTAGGGCAACGTATTCCACCTCGGTAGACGAAAGGGTTACACACTGTTGCTTCCGAGCAGCCCAGGAAATCGGTCCGCCCAGATGGAAAACAAAGCCCGAGTTTGATTTGCGGTCCTGATGATCTCCAGGCCAGTCAGCATCCACGGTTGCTTGCAGTTGGCCAGGTCTACCGAGCTCCAGCTTCAAATCTGCAGTCGACATCAGGTACCGCAGAGTCCGCTTGGCTTCGGTCCAGTCAGCCTGGCTAGGGTTGCTTACCTTGCGCCCCAGAATGGACGCACTGATGGCAATATCGGGCTGCATGTTTACCGCAGCATACAGCAAAGCACCCACTAAGCACTGGAAATCGTTGGTTTCTCCTCCTTTTGCTGTTGCTTCGGGTAACCTGGGTCCATTGATATACGGGATGGTGTGGCGTCTGCTTGTAAAAATCTTGCAGCGATTCTACGGATATACGAGGCTTGATCTAGCAGGAATCACCCATCCTGTCCTCGCTTAATACGAATACCAAGGTAGTTGCTGACATCTCTGAGGGTGGTTTTCTTGAAGTGCTTCTTCAGTGTCGCTTCGATAGACCCCTCTGTCTTTTTTATTCCACGATTGCTACTGTCAAATCGACCAATCAGAAACTGGCTCGGATTTGACAGCAAATTGGCTCCCGTCCCAGCTGAAAGCGAATCGCAAAGCAAAGCAAGCAATCGCACAGACTGGTAAAACGTTTGCTTGCCCCGTACCGTGCGCGCGTTTGTTTTCGTCACATGCTGGGAAAGAATCGGTCAGTAATCCCAAAAGCGGACAAAGTTAAATCGGTCTGGTGGCTTAATCGGCGAACGACAGTGGCAGGCAGAAAAAGCAGCACTTATTTCGCACGAGCAGAGCCATATTGGGGCAACCTGATTGAGGTGCAGTACATGCACGAGAACGATCAAAATCGGATCGGACCACTGGACTAGTTCGATCTATCGGAACATACGGAGCGAACACGGGCGGAGCAGAGAGGAACCATTGTTTAGAGAATTCGCGTGATAGGCACGTCCAAAGACACGAATCGCATTGCCAGTGTGCAGGCTTAACGAGCAACTTGATTTCCGACAGAAGCTAGCAACCAGAGAGGCCTTCGGAAGAAATAAGTCACCATTGCTCTGGAGGATATGAACCTGGTCCTAACCCCGATGGGCCACAGGGCCTTTCTTTTGATCTCTTCTGATTCTCTAGCGCGGACGGTTTGCACAGGCCGAAGCTCGAGTGCCCGCGTGTGCGAGCAGAACGATGGCTTACGGCCGCGAGTGGGACATTCATCTTGGAGTACGAAGAACACGTTCGCACCATGGATAAGGAGAACCCTACACGAGACTCCCAGAGCGAACTCGGATGGTGACGAGCCGACCGACTCGGTCATTCGGTGGAAACGCGGGTAACGGATTGAAGCGTCGACTAACATGCGGCAGCAAAGCGAGTGCCATCGTGTACGACCGGAACGGAGCATCGTGCACTTGCTAACTGAACGGAAGTGACGTGTGACGCAAGGAGGGACGGCAGAGGCTACGAGGACCTACAATACACGGTCGAGGCGAAAAACCGTACGCACGTGGTCCAAGTGGAAATTCGGCGGCGGTAGCGTTCAAGCTAAAACACGGCAGTTCTCTGGTCGAGCTGAGACATCGAAGTTGATAGAGCCACATAGAGAACAACCCGCACTGATGAGCAGCGGCAATGTTACCCTCGGCCGCTTCAGCAGTAGATGGATGGGCCCATCGTGAGTAGAGCTTATGAGCAGTTCCACACACATTCGCAAATCGTTTCGGATCGACCTTTTACGATTATGATGAAACTTTGCACAGTTGTTTGTTATGCCATGCCCAACATGCCATTTAACATATATGGTTCCCTAGTTTTGCACATGACTAACACTTGAAAAGGGCTTATGCAAAAATTATACGCATCAATAGAAAAATATATATCTCTTGAACGATTTGTTTAATCGAGATGGTGTCTTGGAAGAAGTTGCGGACAAGTGTTGTGCCTTCCAAGAAAAAAAATATACACTGTAACAAATTTGTAAATATTTTTTTACAAAAAAAAAATCAAAATTATCAAAAAAAAAATTACTCAAATTGCAATTTATTTTAAATTATTTTTGTAAATTTATTTTGTAGTTTAGATACAGTAATATCTACTGACACTGTGCATTTGCTGGGCAAATCATAAACAAAAAAGTTATGAATTTTTGAAAAAATAAGTATTTTCCAAAATACCACCTACAGTTATCGAATATCTTTAAAATAGTGTTAATATTAAAACAAGAATTTAGACGCCTCAAAAAGCCTTGGATTTGATGGAATTCCTCCAGTATTTTTAAAAAAGTCTAACAATAGAACTCACTGCTCCATCGTTTTGGCTTTTTAATATGTCACTGGAATCCGGAACCTTCTCAAAAATATGGAAAAGCTCAGCCTGCTATCGCGTCGGGCACGCTAATGAGCACCTACGCTGCCGGGTATCCGGCCCGATTCTGGCCTCAGGCGACCAGTCATCCGCGTACACGTCAGCCTTCATCGCCGCCGCCATAACGTTCCTCTCAACTTCAGAAGCCACTACCAGCAGGGACGGTGTCCTCTGGACCACCGTCAACTCCAAAGTCTCACCTGCACCGTTGCCATCGGCGCCCACCGCCCGCACTGTACCGGCTTCCTCTGGACCAGCGCCACCTCCGAACTATCGCCATCGCCGCCCACCACCCGCAATGTACCGTCAAATCTAATAAACAGGTATTTAACCGTTAACATAGTGTTGGTTAGGTTCTCCCGTGTCCGAAAAGTCTCCCACGCCTATACGCACTGAGACCCGGAACCTACAAAGTTGTTGAGTGCCAACCCTGGAAGCTGCCGTTGGTCAAGACCAGCAGCTTGGGGTTTAGGGGTTCCCTTCAGGAACTCAGCGGTTCCGGGGCTTATAAACTAGTCTTATAATTTTTAAATCTGGCCGGAAAGGTGACGTACATAATTATTGTGGAATAGCCATTATCTCTTGCATTCCAAATTTTTTCGAGGCAATTGTAAATGAAAAATTATTTCTTCAAACCAAAAATAGAATTACTGACATGCAACATGGCTTCTTTAAAAGAATTTATAGACTATACAATAAATGCAATGGCTAATGGAAACCACGTAGAACCCTCTATACGGACTTTAGCAAGGCATTTGACTGAATTGACATATCAATGCTACTCTTCAAATCGAAAAAAAAAGGAATTGAGCCAGGACTCCTGAAATGGCTTGAATCATATTTAACCAACCGCCAACAAATAATAAATTCAATGGAAAGAAATCGACCCCAATTCAAATCACCTCAGGAGTCCCCAGGCTCTCATTTGGGACCTCTTATTTTTATTCTGTATGTAAACGATATTTCCTTCATTCTTAAAAAAAAATAAAATTGCTAATCCATGCCGACGACATGAAGCTCTTTTTGGAAATAAGAAATGATGAAGACATCAATATATTCCAGAGTGAAATACACATATTCTTCACATGGTGTAAAAAAGCCTATAAGAACTGAATGTAAAAAAAATGCAACTTAATATCATTTAGCAGAAAAAGAACACTATCAAACATTTCAATTGCATTAGGAAATCAGAATGTAGAAAAATGTGAAAGAGTTAGAGATTTAGAGATTATCTTAGACTCCAAACTAACTTTCATAGACCATTTCAATACAATAATTCACAGGGCAAATAGCATGCTAGGCTTTATCAAACGCTTTTGCTATAATTTTCAGGACCCATACACAATTAAAACACTATATATTGCCTATGTGAGGTCAATACTGGAATATTGTAGTATTGTATGGTCTCGAACAAAAGGAATT